GACATCATGCTGTCCATGCCTAACTTCCCTTATCCAAATAATGCATAAAAATATCCACTTTTATCTTTCGCATCAACTTCATTCAACACTTATTCTGAACTCACGAAGAGGTCCTGCTTCGAAGACCTGTCGATCTGATACAACTTCACGCCTACCTCTCTGAACGGATGGGCCTGACATCAGTTGCAGAGTTGGAGCTGCGTAGACATTCGCGACACAAACATAGACTCCGACATAGTCTCGAGCTTAGTATCGCCTTTTGCCCGGCCTGGTTGATGACGCCTTGGCGTGTGCAGGCCAGACATCAACTCTGTTCGCTAGCGGGCAGATGGCCTGTTGAGCCGATGTCCAAATGTAAATGTATTTTATCTGTTCTCCACTGTCAATTGATTCAGCATATAGATTATCAATTACATACTAAGCCCATTCCATCTAGTCTCATGGAACGTAGAATAAAGACGTGAAATTTAGGATAATTTATCTTAGAGAAGAATATTTTTTGTATATCTAAGTTGAATCTACTTGCTTACGAAAAAAATATTTTTCGTATAGTCCTTTTTTTCGAGTTCATGGCTTTGCTGAAATTTTCTTTATCGTAATTCCTTATAATTTTTAGAAAAAATCTATTAATGGTGTCCCATTTTCCCAATTTTTGTTTTCACATCTCTATTGCACTCACGATTACCAGATATTTTTCAAGTTGACTTGTTTCTGTGCCAACTTTTATACCTCCATTATCGAATATTTTCACATTATACTATTTTTCCTGCCATAACCTTGCATTGCTGCAAGCCAACAGCTCATCAAGTCGTTAAAGATGTCTCAGTTTACGTTATTTTTGAGGGCTTTCTTGTCACCAACCCGATATCACCAATTGCTTCATCATTTTCATAGCCCGCTTTCATTCCGAATGGACGCTATTTATTTTCCTTTCGTAATTCAAGTGTTTAAAATAGTTATTCGCTTTAAACTCCTAACCGTAGTGCTTGTTAAATTCCACAAACTATATCATTGCATAAATAGCTTTACTTCGCCAGTGAGTTTTATTTTTATTGTATCCTTAAAAGGAAAGCCTCTTGCATCGAACGTTATGTTTACGATGCACACTTTATACTGAAAGGTCAGTGAGCGGTATAGTTCTTACATTGTTCTGAGCTTACGCCTTCTGGGATTAAAACCGATTTGGTGAATATGATAACCATTCAATGTTGAAACAGCGATTAGCTCTGGATGAGAATGCGATGAGAAATTGTTATTGAAATCTTAGAAATGTTTAACCTTTATGCCAGAGAGGGATCACTATCCATGATGCAATTTAATAATGCCATTTAACCATTTTGTCCTTTAGCATCTTTGTTGTAAGAGTGTAGGTTTTATTGTAAATGGTGAATGGAACTCTTACAAAAAACTGCATAGCATA